AATTAAAAAAAAAGTTGAATTTGACAAACACTGAACGTCAGTTAAATTTAAAGCACAAACAAGTGCCGAAGTTAAACGTCATTGAAACTTTTCGAAAAAAAATTTCCCATATGGTGCGTACTTTAATGGTGACACTGTATGTCCGGAGTCGCTTCGTTTCTGAGATACAGGGCGTTGAAGTTTAAAAAAACGATATTTATAAAATAGCATAAATATCCTTGGACCGATTTGGCTATAGTTATTTGAAGTAATGAGGCGCTATTTAGCCCGAACTAGATTGAAATTATTGGGTCCAGTGGGGTTTCAGTGGGAACCACAGCCAACAATATTGACAAAAAAGAACGCCACTTACTTTTTTTGTAATTTTTATTCTTTTTTCAGATCAGGAAAGTAAAAATACAACTTTTTTGTCGCTTGTGTTTTCTTCATTTCAAGCTTTGTTACTGAAAATAAAAATTCCAAAAACCATCCATAGACAACATGAAATAAAAACCAAAAGTAAATAATAAACAATTACGACCTTAAAGAAAATGAGCTAAATATCCTCCTACTGATGAAACACACGACTGCAATCAATTTGTCATTGATTGTCTGACACGTTCAAAAATACCTGGAGTATTTCTTATGACATTGCAATTGTCAATTATTCGATTCCTCAAGTCATTCACATATAGTACAGGACTTTTATAAAAAAGATATTTTAGATGACTCCAGAAAAATAAATCTAGAGCTTTCATATCAGGACTTCGAGCTGACCAAGGTTGAGGTCCTGCACGTTCAATCCAGCTATAAGGGTAGGTGATGTCAAGATGCTGACGAGCAAGAACACTAAAATGAGCTGGAGCCCCGTCGTGCATCATTCACATGTTGCCTCTTACAAGTAACGGCACTTCTAACAAAATGAGTGAGATCGCATAAAGTCCGTGTAGGATTCTTCAAGAGCTCCACGTGGATGATTATGATAGAAGCATAGAGTCAATACCATCCCTAATCTACTGTTGAACATCTGTTTCAGCGATAAGTGTTAATCTGTACCTTGAAATACCTGAACGTACTATTGATCCTCTTATAACTCACGAGCTAGAAACTCAAATCGTAATGAACTCTCGCAAGAGGATCATTTACATTTGCAACAGGACGGTGCTCCACTTCATTATTTTCTTTCCGTCCGACAGGGGTTAAACGAGAGATTTTCGAATAGATGGGTTAGCAGAAGGGGAGCAGTTGAATGGCCTCCAAAACACTTAGATTTCTCTTAGGGGGCATCTCAAATCCGTTGTTTTTAAAACACAACCTTGTGATATTGAAGAATTCAAAAAAAGAATTACAGCAGCATGCCAGTGAATACCTAGTGAAGTTTTTCGTATTGTTAGAGGGGAGTTCGAACAGACTTTATTACTGTTTAGAGCAAAATGGACGACATTCCGAACAGTTTATAAGATAAGCGTAAGTAGATTTTATGTTCGATATGTCTGTCTCGCTAATTAAATTTCATTTTTAAAAGGACAATAACCAACAAATAAAAAATTCGTAATAAAAGAAGGGTTGGAACGGTGCGTAACCAGTTTTATTAAAATGAGTCAATATAATAATACGTCTTAGTACAGGCAAATTCTAATTACATGTGTAAGTAAGTTTAGGACACTATTTTTCGGAAACCGCTCATCAAAAAATATAACGTCTGGGTATCATTTGAAGCAGAAAGCCAATTCATCATAAATAATAATGATTTGGCAACATAGTTGAATATTCTCTATTATTACTGGGAAAGTTGTTCAATTAGCAATATAAAAATTGAATGGAGTAAGGTGCCCTTCAACTATAATTTTTTATTTCACAGTGAGCCCACGTACTATACTAGAACGTAAGAGTATGTGCGTTCTTTGTCGCATATCCCCATTTTGATGGCTCGTTAGCGGCGTCCTCAAGGGATATAGAGTGTAGACATATCTCAATGATTTTGTGGGTGAATTGCAGTGCTATTTGCTTGAGACGACCATGTTGCTTTCTTTGATATAGAAACATGTTTGCATTCTTGAAATTCTTTTACTCTCAGACAATACTGAAGGAACTATAGTGTGGGAATAGTGGGCGGTGCCTTTCCCAGGAAATCGACTGTGGAATGTGACGCAAGTTGTCCAGCCAGTAGATTTGCTCAAATTGAAAAGTAGGTATGGCTTGATTGAAAGACCCTAGAGCTTTGACACATTATTCGTATATATTTGTCATAAAAATTGAAATGATTGGATGATGACTTGGTCCTCACCTGTGTTTGGAGTAAAAGCATGCTTGACTGAGGGCTAGTAGTTGTGGATGGCTGCGCGCTCACAGCCACAAATGGCGTACTGCTCACGTCACCTTGAACCAAGAGTTTGTCTGTAACAAAAAAAAAAACTTCGTCAGATGTTTTCGAGGCCTTAGTGTGATGGAGGGGATATGTTTTTCACAGTGTGAAATACTCAGAAACGAATATATAGAGGAGAAACTGAATCAAATAAAAAAAACCGTGTGCGTCTCGCAACGCCCGAGAGAAGTGATAACGTAAACTAATCTAAGTTGAACTTTACTGGAGTTTTTTTTTCCCAACACCAAATCGTTATTTTTACACCTCGACACGTGTTTCGATCACCAAGTGATCATCTTCAAGAGGAAGATAAAACTAACAACTACTCAAAACTAAAGCTACTTATACTAATCAGGTACATCATACAGGTAGGTAATCAGTAATACCACCCATACAAGTG